TCTATCTTCTATCTATCTATCTATCTATCTATCTATCTATCTATCTATCTATCTATCTATCATCTATCTATTCTATCATCTCTCATCTCTCATCTATCTATCTATCTATCTATCTATCTATCTATCTATCTATCTATCATCTATCCATCCTATCTATCTAGAGTCAGTGTTTCCTCTGGCAAGCTGGTCTCAAAGTCCTTGCATAACTGAGGATCATTTTGAACTTATTCTCTTGCCTCCATCTGCCTCCAAGAGCTGGGATTACACTATGTGTCACCACAGTTGGTTTATGTGGTGCTGGGGATCGAACCTAACACTTGTGCATGCTAGACAAGCACTCTATGAAATGAGCTATACTCCAGTCCCTTGGTTTTGATTTATTGTTGTTTTGAGACAGGGTCTCAGTATATAACCCTGGCTGGCCTAGAATTCACTGTGTAGACCAGGCTGACCTCAAGCTCATAAAGATCTACCTGCCTCTGCCTCCCAAGTGCTGGGAATAAAGGTGTGTGCCACCAGGCCTGGAAATTTTATTTTTTGACACAGGATCTGACGTAGCTGAGATTGGCCTGGAGCTTACTATGTAGCACCAAGGCTAGCTTCTAAGTCCCAGCGGTTCTCTTGCCTTGGTCTCCTGAGCTGGATTGACTGGTATGAGCCTCTATGCCCAGTTGACCAAAATTTTATGTCAGGGTTATCTGGTTGGAAGTTTCTAGCAGAATCTCTGGTATCATACGTCAAAGGTCTTTTCTCTTAGGTTGAACACACTTCTCATAGAGACTTTATAATATCCTCTCAGAAGGATAAAGTCCTGGTAGCTTGTCTTCTGGGAGAAACATGGCTGAAGGCTTCAGCTTCTGTGTGCATGTTGCTTTATGTGTGTATGCTTGTATGTGTATGTATGTATGTATGTATGTATGTATGTATGTATGTATGTATGTACTTACTCACGTACTTATCTATTTGTGCTGGGGATACAACCCAGGGCTTTGTGCATGCCAGGCAAGTGCACTATCCCAGGGCTATACCCCAGCCCCTGCATATTGCTTCAGGTATCTTGATGTCTATACAGTGGTCCTGCCCTTGACTGTGCCTGGGTTCCCTTATTGCAGAAACTTGTTTTCCTCACTTTGGGGGAAGAAACACCCTCCTATGTTTTTCCTGGGGTTGGGAGAGGTATGGAGTAAGGGTGGGGCTACTGGTACCTCACTCTTTCTTAAACAGTATTTAACCACTCATTTTTGTTCCTTTCCCTCTCATTTCCTTCCAGAGCCAGTTGATGCCACTACCTCTGAGCATTTGGATGCTTCTGCTGCATGGATCAGATTGATTTTCAGTAGTCCTTGGTGTCAGTGTGGCTCTCTCATGCAAGTGCCAGCTCAGTCACCTCCATACATCCCTGGTGATTCAGTGTCCACCTTCCAGAATGTCTCCTCTTCTTTTCAAAATTATCTTTAATGGGGATATGACAATGCCCACAGAGAGGGGGTATAGCTCACTCAGTTGGTAGAGTGTCTAGCATGCATGAATCCCTGAGTTCAATCCCTAGCATATGCCTGTAATTTCAGCACTTGGGAAGTAGAGGAAGGTGAATTGATGCAAATTCAAGGCTGGCCTAGGCTACTGTCTTAGTTTGTCTCTTCATTGTGGTGACAAAACACTCTGACCACTACCAACTTGGGGAGGAAAGGGTTTATTTACCTTACATCTACCTGGTCACAGTTCATCAAGGAGCCCAAGGTAGGAACTCAAGGCAGGAACCTGGAGGCAGGAGCTGGAGCACAGGCCATGGAGGAACACTGTTTACTGGCTTGTTCCCCTGGCCCCTGCTCAGCCTGCTTTCTTATGCAACACAGGCCCACCTGCCCAGGGGTGGCACCACCCACAGTAGGCTGGGCCCTCCCACATCACTCATCAAGAAGATGCCCCTCAGACATGGCCACAGGCCAGTCCAATAGAGGCAATTTCCCGATTGAGGCTCCCTCAACCCAGGTGTGTCAAGTTGACACTAAAGCTATCCAGCACAGCTACATAGTAAGACCCTGACTCAAAAAATAATCAGAGGAGGAGCCAGGCATGGTGGTGCTTTCCTTTAGTCCCACCACTCAGGAGGCAGAGGCAGGCTGATCTCTGTGAAACTGAGGTCAGCCTGGTGTACATAGCGAGTACCAGGCCAGCTGGAGCTACAGGGAGACCCTGTCTCAAAAAGACTCCCCCCCAAAAAAAAAATCAAAGGAGGAAAATGAGACTGAGAGGAGAGAAATGACTGCTTCATGTCACCAGAGGGCAAGTTGAGGTACCTAGATTCCAAAGCAGGTTTTAGAAGTCATCATTGTGCAAGACATATCAGCTAGAGGTCAGACTTGATCTAGTTTCTCAGTGTGCTCCTCTGTACACCTGCTTTGCAATCAACTGAGGAATTTCTTAAAGAGCCAGTCTTTTGGGCCTTGCCCCACAACTGCTGAATAGGAAGCTCTTAGGCAAGAATGCAACCATGTGCTTTTCTTTTTCTTTTTTATTCAATTAATTTATTTTTTATTTTATGTGTATGCGTGTATTGCCTGCATGTAGGTAAGTGCACCCATGTTGTGCAGTGCCCGTGGAGGTCAGAAGAGGCTGTCGGATCCCCTGGGACTGGAGTTATGGACAGTTGTTAGCTGCCATGTGGGTGCTGGGACTCAAACCCGGGTCTTCTGCAAGAACAGCCAGTGTTCTTAGCTGCTGAGCCATCTCTCCAGCACCAATCATTTGCTTTTCTAAAATATTTATTTATTGTGGGAGTTGGTTCTCTCCTTCCACCATATCGGTTT